TCCAAGACAGATGTGTTTGTTCTTCTGGAAGTTATAATATATTCAATATTCTTTGCCAAGACCATAATTCAAATGCATCAATTCTTCTTCAGTCTTCCTTATTCATTGTCTAGCTTTCACATGTAATGACACTATTGAAAAAACTGTGACTTAGGTCAGGAATAGTCCTCAAAGAGACATCTTTGCTTTTTAAAGAGGTCTTTTGCAGCAGACTTGCCCAGTGCAATAATATACATCATTTGATTTCCTGACTGTTGCTACCATGGGCATTGATTGTGGATCCAATTAAAATGAAATCTTTGACTACTTCAATCTTATCTTCATTTATCATGATGTTGCTTATTGGTCCAGTTGTGAGGATTTTTGTCTTCTTTATGTTGTGGTGTAATCCATATTGAAGTCTTTGATCTTCATCAGTAAGTACTTCAAGTCCTATTCACTTTCAGCAAGCAAGACTATATCATCTGCATATTGCAGGTTGTTAATGAATCTTCTTTCAATCCTGATGCCACGTTCTTGGGGAGCTTGTTACCATAATCTAAATCATTCACTTTAGGATCCCAAATACCTGGAAAGGGTGAAGACCCTGGGGTAGCCAGCCCTACCTCCTGGATTTAACAATAGCACCTAGGTCTGGTCCCCACTCTGTCATCACTCATTAGCTCTGTGACTATGGGCAAGTTACCTTGAGGTTTAGCCACCTGGGTAGATCCAAGTTCTCCAGCCAGTGGGGTCAGGCTTCTTTTCTTATTGAAATTCTTATGCAGTGGGAACATCAGAGTGCTGTCTTATATTTTTTCCTGCTTCCTTCTTGTTTGATTTTCTGCTTCTGTTGAACTCTTGGCTTGTCCAGGCTTGCAGGCCCTAGTTTTCAACTGTATAATGGCCTCTAGGTTTTCCTATAGTTCCTGCTCAGCTCTGCTTCCTTTGGAACAACTGATTTGTTCAGGGGGTTGTTAAAACAAAAATAATATAAAGCCAATAATGGAAATTGATTGATGTTTATTCAGTTTACAATTTGAAAATTGGGGAAATATTTCCTGACTAAAGAGTCAAAAAGATTCCCAAGAAGAAAGCTCTTTCACAGATTTTTATATTTCATTTTATCACTAGTACATTGCCATAGAAAAAGGGCCATAAAATGTTTACATAATAATTCATGGATATGTATTTTCTTGAAGAACAATTCAGATAATTACTGATTTACCCCCAAAACATCGCTCTAGTTTGACCTTTGGAGTTTCTGTTGCAAAACTGCACATATGTAATTCTTTAAAAGAACACAATGTCCAAGGCAAAACATTCTTTGCTAATTAAGCTGGACTATTGTTTGACTTGCACCTGGTTGCTAACTGAAAGGTTAGAAGTTTGAACCTACCAGTGGCTCCCCAGGAGAAAAGACCTGGTGACCTGTTCTCATAAAGATTAAAAACAAAACAAAACAAAAACAACCAAACTTTCACTGCTATTGAGTCAGTCTCGACTCATAGCGACCTCTCCTTGGGTTTCTGACATGGTATCTCTACAGAAGTAGATTGCCCAATCTTCCTTCCGAGGAGTGGCTGGTGGGTTTGCATAAAGAATGCAGCCTAGGAAAACCTGTAGTGCAATTCTGCTCTGCCAGGTAGTGTTGCTGAGTTGGAATTGACAACACACAATGGCAACAATAGTGTTTGGCTTAAAGGTGACTTTTAGAAGACCAGTTCTCTCAAGGCTCAAGATTCAAAGATCATCTCAGGGAAGCAGCTTGGTGGTGGTGGTGGTGGTGGTTGTGATGGGGTTACCTCACTCTCCATGGAATCCAGGAATCTGGATTTCATGAGAGTTAAAAATTGCGTTCCTCAAGATTGTACAACTTTGAAAGTCTTGAAGAGCTATTGATCTGCAACTGCAGGCCAGTGAGTGACCCCAAGGTGCTTTGTTGCATCTAATGCATTTCTTACCCATCCTTCTGTCACAGTTTGTGACAGATTTGTTCTTGTTCATCTTTTTTGAATACCCAGGGGAGAGAGTGCCTGCAAGAGGGACAGGTGCACAGGGATTCCCATTTCTAGGAGGGAGAGATTGTTGGCTCAGAAGTGAGATACTGGTCGAGTTACCCTGGGAAGCAGGGACAGAATCACCTGTCCCACTGTCCTGTCATACTGGGGATGGGAGGGAGACTCATACTGATGAAAAATGGGTTCTGTGGTCATAAGAGACCAGAGTTCCAGATCTCTGGACGAGGACATCCCCCTCTAGCAGACAGGGGCATCTTCTGCTCTCCTGGTGTCCATTGAGAGGGTAATGAATGGATTGTGCCCTGTTGCATAGGCTTACCCCAGGCTGCTATGTGGTGTTCAGGGTGTTGGCCTCAGAAGAGGCTGAGGAAGGGATTTGAGTTTGGGCCCATTGTGAATACCCAGGGAGCAAGAGTGTTCCTGAGAGGAATTGGAAACTGATGGTAGTTGCTAGGATGACCAATTTGTTTGTTTTTCTTGACATTTTACTATGGAAATTTTCAATCATACAGAAAAATGGAAAGTTTATAACAGTGAACACCCATATATCCATCATTAAGATTCTACCATTAATGTTGTGCTAAATTTGGCCTATCCATTTTCTGTCCAGTTCTGTTTGCTTTTCTTTGACTACTGTCTTATGCTCAGAAATTGTGCTCAACATTTAAAGATTGACTGACTGCAAAAACTGTTCTAAGTGAAATGCAGAATGCACAAGACTTGCCACCTTAAACAGGAGAAAAAACCTTTGACTTGGTGGGCAATTCCTGTTCTCCTTGTCAGTAGCCCTGTTGAATGCGGCTTGTGGGCTGTTAAGTGGTCTGTGAGCCTTTCCTGGAGGTATCTGAGCTGCAAATGGTATATATCATTCAAGACTCTATTCTTAGAATGGGCTTGTTGTTTACATGTGACAGCCCTTACTGTAATCTCACCAGAAGCAAGCCTGTTTTCTAGCTCATTCTGGTTGGTTGGAATGTATCTATGTGTGTTCAGACCCTACTGAGGAACTCCTCCTCTCAGACCTCTGCTCTGCTGTGAGGTGACCTCTTCCTTGGCTCTCTTTATCTGTGGCCCTGGCCACAGCAACACCACTTCAAGAGTCAACAAACCTTCCCAAATTTCCTCACAGAGCTCCCTGCCCCCTTTTTGCTGAGGACCTGGAGTGCACATTTGCCTGTCTCTCCCAAGAGAAGACATATTTCCACATTCCTAAGGCTAGCCTTTCAATCTGGGTTCTATGTCCCATCCCCTTAGGAATACTAAGGGACCATGTGCCTACATTTGGCTTTTTCTCCAGCATCTTTCATCTCTCTGTTTTTACTGGTTGCCCTTTATATTCCCTATTTCCATTGATTTCTTAGCCTCTTGGAGACTAAATCTCTATATTGTCTGTTCTGGTTCCTTCATTTCCTACAGTTTTCTTTGAATACTGAGGACCCAGCACAAATATAGGTTCTCAGTGACTAGCTGTGAAATTGTTGGATCTTGTTAATGCTGTAGAAGATGTGTCTCTTTCCTGCTCTCCTCCTACAGCCAACTGCCATCACCTGTGTCTCTGTGTTCACCCTTCACAACCAGAGCATCATCAGAGGCTATTTTATCATGTTGTTTTAGTTATTCAAACACCTCAAATTGCAATGTGATAGTTAATTGCAGATGAGTTGGCTCCAACTCATGGCGATCTTATGTACAACAGAATGAAACATTGCCTGGTCCTGCACCATGATCATTGGTATGTTTGAATCCATTGTTGTGGTGATTGTGTAGTGCATTCCAATCTATTCTGTTGTGATCCATAAGGCTCACACTGGAAACCTCTAACTTTTAGAAGTAGATCTCCAGGTCTTCCTTCCTAGCTTGTCTTAGTGTGGAAGTTATGAGCAAACCTACCCAACATAGATGACCCTGCTGGTATTTGAAATACGAATGGCATAACTTCCAGCATCAGAACAATATGCAAGTCACCACAATATGACACTCTAATAAATGGGTGGTGGTCTAATGGCAATATTGATCATTTATTGAGTCCTTAATAAGTTCTGTGCGCCATGTGCACTATAACTATGACATCCCTAAACTTCTCCCAGAGATTCAAATTCAGTAAACTAAGGTGGGATTCATGAATTTCCATCTTAAAGAACCCTGACATTTTGATTTAGGTTGTCCTAAGATCACATTTTAAATAATACTACCCTAGAGTACCTGTTGCCACTCTGGGTCAGTGGTTAAGGAATTAGGCTACTAACCAAAAGTTTGGCAGTTTGAACCCACCAGCTTCTCTGTGGGAGAAAGATGAGGCAGTCTATTTCAACAAAGATTTACAGCCTTGGATACCCTACTGGACAGTTCTACTCTCTTTTTTTTTGGAGAGTATCTGTTGAGGAGCTCAGGTGGTGCAGTGGTTAAGCACATGGCTGCTAAGCAAAATGTTAGCAGTTCAAACACACCCATTGGCTCCACTGGAGAAAGACTCAGCCAAGATTTCAGCCAAGAAAACCCTCTGGGGACAGTTCTCTCTGTCACTTGAGGTCACTCAGAATCAAAGCCTAACAATAACAATAGAATTACCTGTTACCAATAGCTCTTACCATTGGTTTTATTTGCTGCCTTACAATATATTCAATTACTGCATGCATGTCTTATCTTTATGCTTAGATTGCAATCTCCCAGAAGGAAGAGGTCATGCTTTACATTTTTCTTTCATGACATGTAATGGCCCACTAGAGGGCTATGTACCCAAAAGGTACTCAATGAATATTTTTAGATGAATGGAAAGATGAGTGAGTAAATGAGATTTTTTGAGAGATTTTTCTTGTCTGTTTATGAAGGCTTTTTTGGAGGGGAGTTTTCTGATGAGATAAATTATAGGAATAATGATAATAAATAAATAATGATTATATATATATATATATATATATATATATATATATAATATATTCATAATTATCTTTGTTCCTCACAATTATTAGTAATCACCACTGCTAATTATTTTTCTTTCAGGGAACTTCCAAAATGGCAAGAGAGTGAGCCTCTCTGTGTATCTTGGGGAATTTTTTGACATTCATGTGTTCATCAATGGTTCTGTGATGCAGGGGGACCAAAGGTAAGTCAGAAGCCCAGAATGTCTTAATTAGAAAGGACCCTGGAGATCCCCTTGCCACATCTCCCTCATTTTTCAGATGAAGGAGCTGGAACTCACAGAGGAAGTAAATGTGCCCAGAGGTAGTGAGTAGTCAGGCTGGATGACAGCCCAATCTCTCAACTACTGGTCTTGACCTTCAGCTCCATTCCACAATAATCTGAAACCTATAGCCTGGGATTTGGGTTGAAATGTGGGAAGGATGTCCAGAAAATCTATAAGAAGCCCACTTCCTGACAGACTTCTTTCCCTTGCAGTGTCTTCATGCCCTATGCCTCCAATGGGCTGTATCTGGAAATGGAGGCTGGGTACTACAAGCTGTCCAGTGAGGCCTATGGCTTTGTGGCCAGGATCGATGGCAGTGGCAACTTCCAAGTCCTGCTGTCAGACAGATACTTCACCAAGACTTGTGGGCTGTGTGGCAACTTCAATAGGTTTGCTGAAGATGACTTTGTGACCCAGGAAGGTAAACTTCGCTGGGATGCTGTTCCCCGAAAGCGTGTTTATGTTCATTACTTCCCTGCTCATGAACTTTCACTAACATTCCTCCTGGCATTGAAGCCTTCCACAACCTCAACTCAATTTATTTTGCCAGCCTTATCTTTTAGCATTCTACATCACTGCCTTGACTTTTGGTCAAACCAGATCTTGGAGCTCCTCAAGTCTGACTTTTTTCACCTTTGAATTCTTCATTACAACATACACATGTGTAAAAATGACTTGGTGGGGGAGGAGTCTGACCTCGTCTAACTTCAACAAGCGGGGAGAAATCACCCTTAGCAGCATTAGCCCAAAGCTGATTGCTATGAGGTGGAGCTCAGATATGTCTCGTCTCTCCAAAATTTTTACCAATTATGACACTAGCCATCCCTTCTACTGCACTTTCTACTTCTCTGATGAGTTCAGTAATTTGTTGCAATGGCCACACAGAACTCACAGATAATACTCATGATTATGGAGTTTGTTAGTGAAGTAATAGGTTACAATTCAAGATCAGGAAAGAATCAGGATACAGTTCTTCAGTCAGAGCCTCTTCTCAGAGGTGTCTACAGGAAGGCTTCTCTCTGGCTCTCAGCCTTTCAATGTTTGGCCCCTTGGCCCTCTTGGGCTGGCCCAGCTTCTGCCCTGCTATGGCAAGTGTTATAAAGCTCTTCAGCTCCACCAATACATGCTCAAAGGCACCCAACTCCTGTCAATAAGTCTCCTGCCCCAAAACACTCAGCTCTCTTGCTTCGTGGGCTGAAGAGCCAATGGTGTTGTGTCCTGCCAGTCTCCTGGTTTTGCTGCCTCTGATGTTTTTTCTTTTTGCCATCTCTTACTGTCTTTGGTGTTACAGCTCTCTGCTTCCTGGTTCTAGGAGGTTCCCAGTGCAAGGACTCCAGGTCCAAAGGAAGCATTCTGTTCCTGTCTCTTCTTGGTGGTAATGAACTGCCCCTTTCCACCTGTGGGATGGCTCATTTTAGAGGAATGATAAAACTGACCAATCCCCTTGTTAGGGTTCCGTACTTGTTAGGGTCCAACTCCCCACATCATAGAGACTTATGGTGCAATGAACCCTTTTATATGGCCCTTCTAGCCACATATGGTCTTGTGTCTCCCACAAAATGATTGAGTAGGACTTTGAAAATAAGATATTCATGATCCACCAAGGAGATTGGATAGACTGATAATAATGTAAGTAAGGTTCATGGAACTCATATGTGGGTGGGACCTTCTAATAATGCAAATAAGGCACATGGAACCCTAAGGATGGGATTGGTCAGTTTTGCCATCCTATTAGCATTAAAATGAGCTCATCTAGAGATGAAGGAGGGGGTACCTCACTACCACCAAGAAAGAAGACCCAGGAGTGAAGTGTATCCTTTAGACCTGTGTCCCTGTGCAGAGAAGCTCCTAGACCTGAGACAGAACTGTAATACCAGAGGTGGCATGAAATGGTGAGAAGCAGAAGAGAAATGATGGCAGCAGAACCAGGAGACTGGTGCAAGGTAGGACCATGGGCTTCCCAGTCCATGAGCGAAGAAGCTGCAGTGGGTGTGCTGAATTATGGAGTGAGAGAGCTGAGAACCTTTGGCTGAGGCTTACTGGCAGAGTGGAATGACTCTGGGCAGTTATTGGTACAGCTAAAGAGCTTTGTCAATGATAGTAATGCTGTCAGTGATAGGATAGTATCCATACACCTACAGGGAAGACAGTTAATATGACTTTTATTCAAATTTATGTACCAACCACCAAAGCCAAAGATGAGGAAATTGAAGATTTTATCAACTTCTGCAGTCTGAAATTGACTGAACGTGCAATCAAGGTGTGTTAATTATCACTGGTGACTGGAATGCAAAAGTTGGAAAAAAAGAATCTCCAGTAGTTGGAAAATTTGGCCTTGGTGACAGAAATAACACTGGAGATTACATGATAGAATTTTGCAAGACCAATGACTTATTCATTGAAAACAACAACACAAATGGTGACTATACACATGGACTTTGCCAGATGGAGTACACAGGAATCAGATTGACTACATCTGTGGCAAGAGGTGATGGAGAAGCTCAGTATCTTCAGCCAAAACAAGAGCAGGAGCTGATTGTGGAACAGACCATCAACTGCTCATATGCAAGTTCAACTTGAAGTTGAAGACAATTAAAGTAAGTCCATGAGAGCCAAAATATGACCTTGAATATATTCTTCCTGAATTTAGAGACCATCTAAAGAACAGATTTGATGCATTGAACACCAGTGACTGAAAACCTGAAGAACTGTGGGATGACATCTGTGGTAGTAAATTTATCTGGTAAAGCTTTTCTAGTCATAAGTCTTTGTAAACTCCAAGGTGGAATTTGCCATGAGCAACCGAGGAGCTCCTGATTGCTAGTGTTATCCACCTGGGGTATTTCTGTTGAGCAGTGGCACAAAGCAATGTTCTGGGAAGTTCACTCTCTCTTAGGTGCTTAGAATTCTGGTTAGTTTGGCCATTCTGCCAGGCTCAAAAGGAGGCCTCTTAGAGGCAGTGAAAAGGATGTGCTGCTGAGAGCAACACACTCCTGAGAGACACTTGCTCCTAAGAGACATGTGCTGCTGGGAAAGAGATGTAAGAGACATGCATTGCTGAGATAGACACTGAGACACACGGATTGCTGGGAGAACGGCTGAGAGAGACTGTTGGCTGAGAGACAGCAGGCTGAGAGAGACTGAGCATTTTTCCTCAACTTGAATTGTAGTCTGGTGCTACCCTAATAAACTCCATAATCTGTGAGTTCTGTGTGGCCACTGCAGTGAATTATCAAACCCAGCAGAAAGATGGTGAGTGCTGCAGGAGGAACGGTTGATGTCAGGGTTGGTGAAAGGGCTGGAGGGAGGCAGCATGCCTGGCCCGCAGGAATAGGCCTTGAGCTACTGATGGTGATTCTGTCTTCCTCTTGTGGAGTTAGAGGAGGTTGGGAGATGTGGCCTTCTTGCCCCTTTAGCAACATCAAGAACATCATCCATGAAGAAAGCAACAGGTCATTGAAAAGACAAGAAAAGAAGAAAAGACCAAAAGGGATGTCAAAAGAGACTCTGAAATTTGCCTTTGAGCAGAGAGTAGCTAAAGCAAATGGGAGAAAAGACAAGATCAAAGAGCTGAACAGAAGATTTCAAAGAGCAGCTCGAGCAGACAAAGCCAATTACTATAATGAAATGTGCAAAGACCTAGAGTTAGGTAACCAAAAGGGAAGAACATGCTTGACATTTCTCAAGCTGAAAGAACTGAGGAAAAATTTTAAGCCTTGAGTTGCAATATTGAAAGATTCTATGGGCAAAATATTGAATGATGCAGGAAGCATCAAAAGAAGATGGAAGGAATGCACAGAGTCACTGTACCAAAAAGAACTGGTTGATCTTCAACCATTTCATGAGGCAGCATATGATCAAGAACTAATGGTTTTGAAGGAAGAAGTCAAAGCTGCATGGAAGGAATTGGCAAAGAACAAGGCTCCAGGAACTGAAGAAATACCCACTGAGATGTTTAAACAAATGGATGCCTCACTGGAGGCACTCATTTGATCATGCCAAGAGATTTGGAAGACAGCTACCTGGCCAACTGACTGGAAGAGATCCATATTTGTACCCATTCCAAAGAAAGGTGAGCCCACAGGATGTGGAAATTATCGAACAATATCATTAATATTGCACACAATAAAATCTTGCTGAAGATAATTTAAAAACGGTTGCAGCAGTATATTGACAGAAGTGCAAGCTGGATTCAGAAGAGGACATGGAACAAGGGATATCATTGCAGATGTTAGCTGGATCTTGGCTCAAAGCAAAGAATACCAGAAGGATGTTTACCTATGTTTTATTGACTATGCAAAAACATTTGATTGTGTGGATCATAACAAACTGTGAATAACATTGAGAAGAATGGGAATTCCAGAACATTTAATTGTACTCATGAGGAAACTATCCAGGAGGCTGTTGTTTGAACAAAACAAGACTCCATGTGGTTTAAAATCAAGAAGGGAGTGCATCAGGGTTTTATCCTTTCACCATACTTATTCAATCTATATGCTGAGCAAATAATCCAAGAAACTGGACTATATGAAGAAGAATGTGGCATCAAGATTGGAGGAAGAACCATAACAACCTGCGGTACACTGATGACACAACTTTGCTGAAAGTGAGGATGACTTGAAGCACTTCCTGATGAAGATTGACAAATACAGTGTGCAGTATGGATTACATCTCAATATGAAGAAAACAAAAATCCCCACAACTGGACCTATAAGCAGCATCATGATAAATGGAGAAAAGATTGAAGTTGTCAAAGACTTCACATTAGGCAATTTCTACAATCGATGCCAATGGAAGCAGCAGTCAGGACATCAAACAAAGTATAGCACTGGGCAAGTCAGCTGCAAAGGACCTCTTTCAAGTGCTGAGGAGAAAAGATGTCTCCCTGAGGACTAAGGTGCACCTGACACAAGCCATGATATTTTCAATCACCTCATATGCATGTGAGAGCCTGGACAATGAATAAGGAAGACCAAAGAATTGATGTTTTTGAGTTGTGGTGCTGGTGAAGAATGCTAAAAGTACCAAGGACTGCAAAAAAAAAGAACTAGCAAATCTGCCCTGGAGGAAGTGCAGCTGAATGCTCCTTGGAAGCAAGAATGGCCAGACTTTGTCTCACCTACTTTGGACATGTTATCAGAAAGGACCATTCCCTGGAGAAGGATGTCATGCTTGGTAAAGTGGAGGGTTGACAAAAGTGGGGAAGGCCCTCAAGGAGATGGATTGACATGGTGGCTGCAGTGGTGGGCTCAAGTATAGCAAGGATTGCAGAGCTGGTGCAGGACCAGGTGGTGTTTCGTTCTGCTGTGCATAGGGTCACTGTGAATTGGAGATGTCTTCATGGCACCTAACAACAACAACAAAGAGCTTTGTAACGCTTGCACAAGTGTTACATGACATGAAGCTGAGAGGTTGAGAGGCTGAGAGGCCAAGGTCCAGAGAGAGGCCTGCCTGCAGGCACAGCTGAGAAGAAGCTGTCCCGATCAAAGAACTGTATCCTGAGTTGTTCCTGATCCTGAATTGTAACCTGTTACTTCTGTAATGGGAGCTCTGGTGGCGTAGTACTTAAGGCATTTGACTGCTAACCAGAAGGCTGGCGGTTCAAACCTACCAGCCACTCCTCGGAAGGAAAGTTGGGCAGTCTACTTCTGTAGTGATAGTGCCTCGGAAATCCAAGGAGGGGTCGCTATGAGTTGGAACTGACTTGATGGCAATGAGTTTAGTTACTTCTGTAATAAACCCTGTGGTAGTTCAGTTTGTGTGTCAACTTGGCTGGGCCTGGTTGAGTGGCTGGGCAGCTGGTGGTAGTTATTCCCCACGATGAGACTGGCAATCAACTCCATGGTGGGATCTACCACAAGCAGCTGAGTAGCTGCCTTTGGGTATGTGGCCTGCTTCCCGTATAAAAGCAGGAGCCTTGGGAATGGTCTCTAGCCTATTGCATGCTTGGACCCTGCACATAGCGTGGTGTTGCTCAGCAGCCTGCTATGCTCTGCCAACCTTGGGACTTACAGTAGACTTAAGTTAATAGCCTGCTGTGTGGGTTGGTAACATCAAGACTGTGCCTTTTTTCTTGTCAACCTTGGGGCTTCTCAGCCTCAGCAGCCAGCAGCTGTCTGAGTGAAGAAACACCTCTAGCTCCAGTGGGCTGAGAGCAGGAGGCATAGCTGGACCCCAAGGTTGAGGGGCTTTCACCCAGCCCCTAGAGCCTGGCACTTTGAACTTGGACTTTAAAGCCTCCAAATTGTAAGAATAAACTCCTGTTTGTTAAGGCCATCCCATTTGTGGTATATTCCTGTTAGAGCAGCACTAGGTAACCAGAACAAACCCTATAATCATGAGTATTGTTTGTGAGTTCTGTGTGTCCATTGCAATGAATTATTGAACACATCAGAGAAGTGGGAGGAACAGCTCATGCCAGAATTGGTAATAAGGTTGGACTGTGGAAGTATGTTTGACCTCCATCTTATAAGAATCAACCTTGGGCTGATGCTGATCTTGATTCTCTCTCCTTCCCCTTGTGAAACTGATAGAGCACTTCGGATGCTGCCACATCATTCTTACAAGACCCAAGACTCATTTCCAGTTCCATGGAACTTTTAGAATACAGGGCCCTTGGTTGCCAAGATTGCTACCTTCACTCTAACAGTTTATAGTCAGAGCATCAAGTCATACTTGCCAGTATTATTTTTCAATTTTCTTTCCTTTTCCTTCTTTTCTTACCCCTTCTTTCTTTTTGTTTCTTGAAATTCTCTGTTTTGTTGTGAGATCAACTATAGATTCAACTATGGATTTGTCATATTTTCCATAATATTTCCATGTCCTTTGTAGTGGCACAATTTCCAGGTTTAAAAAACTAAAAATGGGATCTATTCTGTGAGGGAGTTTTTGGTGTCTGATGGCTAGATGTCAGAGCTCTAGTGATATTTTGAGTATCATCCTCAGAGGACTGTAGATTTAGTTTTCTTTGGTTGGTAAGGACTTAACAATTTTTATTCTCAAATGGTTAACCTTACTGCTTGACATCATGGGACTCTACCAGCTTGGCTTTAGCTCTGGCTTTCAGAGTGTTTTCTCTAACCAAGAATTTTTGTAGTTTCACCTATTAGACATTCTTATGCCTTATTTCAAAGAATTTCACTTCAGAGAAGTTCAGGGTTGAAAAGGATCTTAAGGGTGGCTAGTCTAACCCCTCATTTTACATTTGTGCTCAGATGAATGATGGGATCATCCCAAGATTAAACAAGGCTATTGAAGGAGAACTGAGACCAGACCCTAGGGATCTTAATTCTCTCTAGGGCTTTCGTCACTGAACACAAAGCTTCATTTCACCTTGCCTTCCAATTCCCTAGTGTGGTTTCTTAGAAAGTGTACAAGTCTGTGTTGCATGGAATGACTAAATACCTATAAAGCAATGATCACAATGCCTTGTGTACAGTAGAAACTCTATTAATTTAGGCTCCCTTCCTTTTGGCTTCCCTCATGTATTAGTTTCCTGTGGCTGCCATAACAAATTACCACAAATTTAGTGGCTTAAAATGACACCAATGTATTTGATCACAGTTTTGGAGGCCAGAAATCTGAAATCAAGGTGTCAGTAGTGTTGAACTCCTTCCAGAGGCCTTAGGGGAGAATCTGTTCCTTGCTTCTTCCAGCTTACGCCGACATTCTTTGGCTTGTGGCTGCATTCCTTCAATTTCTGCTTGCATTTTCATCTTCTCCTCTGTGTGTCTAATCTCTCTCTGCCTTGTTCTATCAGGATACATGTGATTGCATCTAGGGCCTACTCAGATAACCCAGGATAATTGCTTCCTTTCCAGAGCCTTAACTTAATCACATCTTTTATCATATAAAGTAATATTCACAGGTTCTGGGGATTAGGAGGTAAACACATATATTTTTTTTCCTGCTTACCACACTGCAGATGCCAATTGCCCATACTTCCAAGAAAATATTTTCTTTTCCCCAGGGCCAGTTGATTTCCTAAGCCTAAGTGCATAATTTTATCTTGAAATATATTTCACTCTTCCAGGCCTGACTATGCAAAAGACTGCTTGTCTCAATGATCCATTAACGTTCTTTGTAAAGAAGATGTAGCAGTGCTATTAGGCACTCACTTTGTACCTTAGCCATGTAGGCTCATGAAGTCTCTGGGAAGTACAAATGGTTAATGTGTTTGTCTGCTAACCGAATGGTTTGAAACCACCCAGAGGTCTTTCAGAAGAAAGGCCTTGCAATCCTGTTGTGAAAAATTCATCAAAAACTCTATGGGGCAAAGCTCTATTCTGACACACATGAGATCACCATAAGTTGGAATCAACTCAATGGCAGCTGGTGTTTTGGTTTGTGTAGGGCCATGAGGCCTTTATAGTTGGTTGCCGGTAGTTGACAATAGCATGAATGCTTTGAGTACTAAAGCACAGATGCCATGAGAACTTGGAGAGTACAATTATGGGGACTTCAGTTCCATGTCACGTGTCACACACCTTTATTCCACAAAAATCTTTTGAGCATCCAACACCCACCAAGAATTTAGAGATAATAAACAAAGCATGAGCCCTTAATTAGGGAGCTCACAATGAGATAAGGGTTGAAGATAAGTAAAGAGAACATTAGCACAAAGTAGGATGAGAATTTTGATGGAGGTATGCCTTGGAGGCTGAGAGAGCATAGAGAAAGGACACACCCAACCCAAACTGGGAAAGGGAGTACAGGTAACCTCTGGCCTATGATGGGGTTCTGTTCCCATGACTCTTGTCTTAAATGGGTGCTGATGTAAGTTGAATACTTTTTTTTTCTTCCAGTTTTCATTATTATTGTCTTTTACTATCAATATCTTTATAAATCTGAACTCTTGTCTTTGGGAGTTGGAAACATGACATGAACTTATAGCATCAACACCGGAGCTTCCTATTCTCCAATTATACATACATTATGTAAATCAAAACACCCAAAAAATCAGACAGTGTGGTTTGTCATAGTTCAAATACCTCATAAGTGGGAGACTAGCTGTATAGCTGGCCCAGATAGGCTTCCTGGAGGAAGTGGTTCTTGAGCTGCCTTTTGAAGAATGAGTGGAGATAGCCAAGGCAATAAGAGAGGTGGAGAACATTTCACACAGAGATAGAAAGGCATGCAAAACCTGGAGAGTGAAATTGAATAGACATTTTCCTCATCATTTTTCATGTCATCTTTCTCATTGTCTCCATCTATCCAGCCACCATTCACTAAACATTTGCTGAACTCTATTATTTATGCCTTGTGATCTTACGCTGAGCAGTGCACAAAATATACTCTTCACCTAAATGTGTATGTTCTGATGTAATGGGAGGTTGGTTCAAGTAATGATAGACCAGCATTTTCACTCACATGTCCTGGGACAGGTATGATTGTGGCTTCATTTTCCTGAAACTTTGCTCCACAGGGACTTTGACCTCAGACCCCTATGACTTTGCCAACTCCTGGGCCTTGAGTAGTGGAGAACAACGGTGCAAGCGGGCATCCCCTCCTAGCAGCCCCTGCAATGTCTCCTCTGAGGAAATGCAGAAGGTAGGTGCAGTCCAGTCTGAAAGTGGTCTGGATGCGTGTGTGACTTCTGGAATTAAGAGGCAGAGGACATCTGGTCTCAGGCCTTCCATCTGGGAGAGGAATGGACTTACCTCTGTGGATCCCTCTGGATGTTCTATGTAGGGTTACCATGGGCCCTTTTCCTCCTAAAAGTCAACTGTGGTTAGAGTTTAGCCAATTACATCTCTAATACTATTCTTTGATCTATGTGTGTTTAGGGGATGGGATCTTCATGGATGCGGGCGTAATTAGTTTTCTTGGCTCTGGGTGGTGCCTGGGTATAGGGGTTGCTGCTCTTGTGAAGAAGGAGCAGCTCCATGCCCCTCTGCTTCATCCTTAAACTGCACAAACACAATGGCACATCCAGCCCTGGGGATGATTGGGAAGATTACCCCACCCCTTTATACACAGCCCTATTCCTACTGACACAGAAGGTCTTTAGTAGTTCTTTCCCCCTTCAAATGCCCTTCATGATCCTACTAACTAGAACCTCCCACCTGGAGAGAAGTGAGTGGGAGTAGGAAGGAGTGGTCAGAACTGCATCCTGCCTCCTTCATTAGCAGATGGCCTTTCGTGTCTCTTTGGGTGTAGGTGTTGGGAGAGATGATGCTTCAGGTGGGGAAAGACCTCCCTGGATGGACTGACGCAGGCTGAGGGATGGATCATGGCTCCAGGATGAAGTTGGACCCTTGTCTGCACACAAATTGCTCTTTTGGGGCTGCATTCAGAGATTCACAATGTGAGGAACATGATTCTTTGGAGGTGTTGTGAGATTTCCTGAAGGCCAACTCTGTGAAAGATGTGTATGTAGGGGACATTGCAGAGTTTCTCTGGAACTGTACCTGTGAGTGAGTGAGTGAGAGAAGCAGGATTGGGCATGAACAGACTTGAACTGTGATGTGGTTAGAACTCGGGCCTAGCCATCTCTCCAGGAGCTCTGAAAGCTGACATGGCCCTTCAGAGATGTCCCAACTTGGGCAAGGGTGCCTACACCGACAGGTCAGATATTGGATGGAAGCAGGCTACACCTAGAAAGGACCCTGGAAATGTCCTCACACACTCCTCTCATTTTTCACATGAAGGACCTGGGACTTAGAGAGTACAGGTAGGTACTCACTACCTGTGCCCAGAGGTAGTGAGTACCCAGGCTATGTGGGAGCCCAGTCTCTTGACTACTGGTCTTGACCTTCAGCCCCATTCCACAATAATCTAAGCCCCTGTAGCCTGGAATTAGGAATTGCAGCAGCTCCCTTTGGCTGAGGACAATTCCTAGACAGCAACTCAGCTATTTCTTCAAGATTCTTGGCAGCTGTTGGATTGAGTGTTTTGGCTCTGTAGAGTCCCTCTGCTTAACAGCAGCACTGTCCCTGCACTCCACCCAGATGACAACCAACCTGCTGAAACCTATAATATACACAAAGAGGACAGGCACATGCTTATACCCAGGATGGCCAACATGATGGGACTTTCCAGACCACACTAAAGCCTTTGTCTGTGCATGTACAGTTCTGCTGAGTGCTCTCACACGTAGCAGTCACTGGGCAGCACAGCCCTTTGGGGGCAGGGGTACAAATACTGTTTTAGAATTTTCTTCATAGATGAAGAAACCAAAGCCATAAGAGGTTACAAAACCACCCAACATAGTCCAGCTGCAGAGTCAGGATTCAAACTCTACCTAGCTGCCCTCACTTTGTTGCATTAGTTGCCTTGCCCCAGGCTGCTCAGATTATTTGTGCTTGTGGTTCCTTGCCTTTTTCTTCAGGACTTGGTGGTTCTTAAAGTTCCTTTCAGGTCCAAAACTTTTTGATTTGTGTTTCTCTGAATTGGTCTGGAGAGACAGTATACAATAGGTCTCAATAAATATCTGATGGATGGATGGATGAATACTGTAGTATTATTTAGCTAAAGATTGATTGTGGCTACATCCACAATAATAATTCAGAACCCTTCACTTGTAGCGATCTGAGAAACTCATGTAGCTAGAGAAACTCTGGCTCTCTCCTACTCCAGAAACAAATCTCTCTCTCTCTCTCTCTCTCTCTCTCTCTCACACATACATACACACACACACACCTTCGCATGAGAAAACCTCATTATTAGCTGGTTACTCATTCAACAATTCTTTTCCATAGTCATGGAACAATTTGACCTTATGAACCCCAGTGTATGTCAGGTTCAGGAAAACATTCTGGGCAGACTCTAAATCCAGTTGCCTAGATTGTAAACACAATTTCCAACTTATAAACCAGTACATTCCAAAAGACTTTTTTGTCCCTTGGGTTTCTACTGTTTGAATCATTTAGGTCTTCTGGCGAGATCATAAAAGTCTGTGTGACTGAGAATTGAGTGGAAGAACGTGGTTGTTACTGGGTGCTGGTGAATTGATTCTGACTCAGCCACCCCATTCAGCAGAGTAGAACTGCCCCACAGGGTTTTCTGGGCTGTAATCTTTACCGAAGCATATCACCAGCTCTTTTCTCCTGTGGTGTGGCTGGATGGCATCAACCAACCAACCTTCTAGATAGCACTTGAGTGCTTAACAACTGCACCACCAGAATCCTTGAGCTGAAGAATAACACTAACAAAAGCAGACTGATTCCTAACACTGAAATGAGGGTGCTGGGGTGCCTGAGGAAGGGGGAGTTTTCTTTCCTCTTCAGGAGAAATGTCTGAAGCTTGCATCTTGAATTTTCTCTCACTTCTGGGCCTTGGCTCTGTGGTAAGTCCACATGCCTTGGGTTTGGCCATTTACTGGCTTCATAACCCTGGGCAAGACATTTGTCTTCTCTAAATGGCAGTTTCCACATGGGAAATGGGGCTGAAGATAGTACCTACTCCAGAGGGCTATTGTGAGGATGAGAGAGAGGTAGTATTGGGGCTCAAACCTATGAGCCATTTATACTGTTATTATTATTCCCCGAATCCCAGCGTCCTCCTGCTGTCCTGCATTTCCCACTGGAGCAGCTTTGGTTTGTGAATGGGGATGGGAAGAAGTGAGCTGAGCACACACACTGCTTTAAACACAAGCTCCAAAATCATTCATTTCCTCATAACCTCTTCCCTTTTTCTCCCGATTATAACTTCCTGTTGGATAGTTGAGCATAGCCTGAGGTTAGAAGGAAAGCAAGGTGCCTAAACACATTCAAGAGTCCTTGGGTGGTACAAATGGTTGACATGCTCTCTCAGCTGCTAACCAAAAGCTCGGAAGTTTGAATCCACTCAGAGGTAACTTGGAAGACCCTGGTGATCTGCTTCTGAAGAATCAGCCATTGAAAACCCTATGAAGCACAATTTCACTCTAACACATATAAGGTCACTGTAAGTCTCAAGCTGACTCGACAGAAACTGGTTAAACACATTTATTCCAAGGGAGTAGATAGTGATAGAAGCCAACTTTTTTTTTTTTTAAACTTTTTATTGTGATTTGGGTGAACATATACAGAGCAAATCAGTTTTCCATTCAACAATTCACACACATTTTGTTTTATGTCACTGATTGCTGTCCCTTCAATGTAACATCACTCCTCCCACATCCTCTGTATGTTTCTCATTTCCGTTCCTCCTTCTCTCCTAACCCTTCTTGCCTTCTGAACTTTGTCCTGGGCAAATGCTGGCCTTTTGATTTTGAATGGTTGAATGTTAAGGAAGATCTGCATTCCTAATATTGTTCACCTTGTAGATCTGTCTATTGTTTGACTGAAAATTGAGCTATGGGGGTGAGTTTTATTGCACGTCCAAAGGATGACCATGGAATATAATCTCAGGGGTTCTATCAGTCTCTATTCAATCAATAAGCCTGGTCTTTTTTGTTTGTTTGTTTTAAATAATTTTGAGTTTTCTTCCACATTTTTCTCCCACTCTATCCAGGACCTTCTAATATGATCCTTTCAGAACAGGTGGTAGTGGTAACCAAGTACCATCTAGTTATTCTGGGCTCGGGGTCATGGAGGCTGAGGTTCCTGTGGACTAATTGTTTCCATGTGCCCTTCATTTTCTTCATTCTTCTTTGCTACAGATGGGGAGAAACCAATAATTGTACCTTAAATGGCCACTTGCAATCTTTTAAGATGCCTGTCATTACTCACCAAAGTAGAAGGTAGAATATTGTCTTTGTGGACTGTGTTGTACCAATTGATGTTGATGTCCCCCAAGACTATGGTCCTGAGTCCCCAGGTCCAGTACTCACTCCCTCAGGGTTCTTGGTTATGGCTAAGAAGTTTTCATGACTTTGCCCCAGTATGTTCTACTATGTTCATGAATTTACTTGCAGCATATGTAAATACACGTGTAGAAATAGTCCGTCAAACCTATACATATTTGTGGGTATAGTCCCATTCTCCTTCCCACTCCTGTTTAGCTTGTGTGTCTATCTGTTGTTGTTGTTATGTGCCATTGAGTTGTACCCGACTCATAGCGACCCCTCCTTGGGTTTCCGAGGCAGTATCACTACGGAAGTAGATTGCCCATCTTCCTTCCGAGGAGTGGCTGGTAGGTTTGAACCACCAGCCTTCTGGTTAGCAGTCAAGTGCCTTAGGCACTATGCTACCAGAGCTCCTGTGTGTCTATCTATGCATCTATTATTAGATTATTGATTATTATTACTAGAATATGTATGATGTAGTATTTACCTCTTGCCTTTAACTCTTGCACTCCTCCAGTGTTTTCTTTTCCTTGATCATTTTGTACTGACTTTCTCATTATTGTATATTGCTTTCCCCTTCACCCAAATTAATATGCATCTACTCACTAGTTAATGGTTTACCCTCCCTTCCCCTTCCACCCCTGGGAACCATTAAAGAATATTTCCTTTTGTGTGAAAACCTTTTCTTGTTTTTTTACAATGATGGTCTCATACAATATTTATCGTTTTGTGATTGAGTGATTTCACTCAGAATAATGTGCTCTAGGTTCATCCATGTTATGAGATGTTTCACAGATTCATCATTGTTCTTTAATATTGCACAGTATCCCATTGTGTGTAT